ACTGGAAACGCCCAGGCCCTGCAGAGAGGAGGTGTGATTGTGGATTCTCAGATGCTTTTCCTTTCTTTTGCCTGGTTATTAAAACGTAATTTTAAAAACAGTTCCATTACAGGGTTTCCTGAGTTAAGACAGTTCTGTAAGTGCAGCAGCAGCAGCGGGAGGTTGGGCGTGGGGCCCGGAATAAGTGGCAGAAGCAGCAGTCACCGACCCTGCCAGTCCTCCCCTTTCCCACGGAGGCCCTGGGAGCAGCTCCTGTCACTTCCTCTCCTTTCCAGCTGATGTTCCTCTTTGGTCGCTAAATCATAACCACGGTTCCGGAAAACAAGAATGTTGGTGAGCGAAAGTTAGAAGGCCTGAGATTGAGGTGAGGCCGTAAAATGATGTATGTTTTTTTAAAGTGTGTGGATCTGCCTGACGGTTATGACTTTCTATCCTCTATTTTCATTGGCCAGTCGACCCAGCTTAGCACCACCTGGGTCAGAGCAAAAGGGAATGTCTATTTGCTGCTGTTGTCGGTCCTCACTGAAGAGTGTCTGTCCACTGATTTTTTTAAAAATATATATTTTATTGATTTTTTTACAGAGAGGAAGGGAGAAGGATAGAGAGTTAGAAACATCGATGAGAGAGAAACAATCGATTAGCTGCCTCCTGCACACCGCCCTACTGGGGATGTGCCCGTAGCCAAGGTACATGTCCTTGACTGGAATCGAACCTGGAACCCTTCAGTCCACAGGCTGATGCTGTATCTACTGAACCAAACTGGTTTTGGCTGTCCATTGATTTTTAAGGAGAGTGGAAGGGAGAGGAAAAGATGTTGAGAAACATCATTGTGTTTGAGAAATACATTGGTTGGTTGCCTCCTGTAAGAGCCCTGACCAAGGTCCAGGCATCAGAGAAGCCTGCAACCGAGGTATGTGCCCTTGACCAGAATTGAATCTGGGACTCCTTGGTCCAGAGGCTGATGTTCTACCTACTGAGCCAGACTGGCTAGGGCTCGAGGGGAATGTCTAGACCTTGAAATGGACAGAGGAGGTGCAGGTCTGACACACAGAAGGAACTCCCAAACTGTTGAATAAGTGAGTGAGGACGTGCCTCAGATCCACACCCCATGGCTGGGTCTGGCTTTGGTTCAGCATTTCCAGGCTCCTGTTTGCCTCAGCAGTCAACAGGGTCTCCACCTGAGAAGCCGCTGCGCTGTTTAACCCCTCACTACCCATCTTCACAGCTCCACATTGTGCTTCAAGAGGTGCTGTTCCGCCGATGGCAGGATTAGAGGGCTCCTGGTCGAGTTTTAGGGCAACCAAGCAGAAAGTCCTGTGCTGGCTATGGCGAGGAGCTGAACATGTAGAAATACCTCGTTCTGGAGGGAGGAAGGAAGGAATGGGAAGGATCCCATGGGGGATGAGGAGGAAGTTCTCGGATTTTGTCAGCATCACATCCCCGGCCATGCGTGGCAGCAAACACCCTCTGGAAATGAAGGTCACGTGGACTTAAAGTCATTGACTCAGTCACTCCTGTGGCCGGGTACCTAGGCCTGTTGTTGGTTTTTCTATTTCTGAGTCATTGTTTCTATTGATGAACAAGGTATGCATCATTTCTAACTTTATTATTGTAAACATATTGAAAGACGGTCTATGGATAATGCTTTTTTTCTTTGAAAAACCTCTCTGTAGCTACTAGAGATAAAAAGGAACATTTCATAGTTTTAAACTGGCCGGTCACCAAGAAAGACACGTGTCCTGTGTGTGGCACCTGTAACGGAGCCACAGCCCATCAGCAGGCTGGCTGGCGGGCAGAGGAAGCAGGAGACACAGCCCACCTCTCCCAGCAGCTGATGACCCACCCAAACAAGACGTGGGCACGAGCCGGAGAGGAGACCCTGCAAGGGGTGACAATGGCAGGAAGGAAGATGACACCTGTCCATGCGCTCACCTGAGCCCTCTGGGCCTGGCTAGCTGGTCCGTTGGATTATGAACTGTGTCTGGGACCCCTCAGCCTGCGTCTCAGGGGATGGGACGTGCCCGGCTCAGGCCAGGCAGTCTGGCCACATGGCCACTGGCTGGCGTGGCACATGGCCTCCTCTGGCGTCCAGTAGCAATAGGGCTACATATTGGTGGCTACTTCTTTGCTGCAGGTGACATGGGCTTGCTCCAGAAACCCAGGGGGAATGATTTCTACAAACAGTAGAAGGACAGCCCTGCTGGCGTGGCTCCGTGGTTGAGCGTCCACCTGTGAACCAGGTCACAGTTCAATTCCCCGTCAGAGCACATGCCCGGGTTGCAGGCTTGATCCCCGGTTGGGGGTAAGGAGGAGGCAGTCCATTGATGATCCCCACTCTTTAATGTTTCTCTCTCCTTCTCCCTTCCTCTCTGAAATCATTTTTTAAAGCAGTGGGAGTGTAAAGGGCCGGTTTTGGTGCCGGGGCCTCTGGCTGTCCCAGAACCACTTGCTTGAAAGAGTTGCCTTTCCTCACTGAATTGTGTGGCCACCGGGGTCAGAGGAGCGGACCATCTACGTGTGTTTCTGCTCTGGCATCTTTATGCTTAGGCCCGAGCCACACTCTCCTGATCCTTGTCATTGCAATCTGCCTTTAACTAAGGCACACAGCCTGCAACCTGGCCCTTCTTTCTAAAGTTGGTTGGGTTTGGAATAGCCGGCTGGTGTGCTTGAGGCTAATGCCCTGGCCCACAGGCGGGCAGGGAGGGGCGTTTCGTGGGAGAGCAGGAGAGCAACTACGGTGCGTGTGTGGCCACGTGAGCCATCATGAAACGGGGCTTGCAGGTCCGTGACATGCATCCTTTGAGGATTCTGTCTTTTTACCCAAACGCTGGCAAGAGGAGGCTTCCCCCGCTTAAGCCTCCTCCTGGATCCACAAACCCTTCCCGCTCTCACTCCACGTACCAGATAAGGGGACCCGGATGGAAAAAGGAGAGAGAAAGGGGGGAAGGGGGGAATCCCAGGGTGCCAGACCAAGGGGCTGAGGAGACTAGGGGAGGGAGAGAGGAGGCTGTCCCCTTTGGGGAACATGGGGGCTCCCTGTGGCCTCACAAAGGCGCTCCCACTTCTCCCGAGAGCAGGCGTTTCTCAGCGACGGAATCAGCTCCTCTTCCAAACTTGACTGCAGAGCAAAGAGCCATGTTTAATGGAAACGGGATGGGCTGCCACCATTTTGGCTTCTGGGGTGGCATTAACGTGATGCGAGTGAAGAAAGGAGCATTCTCCCGCTGCCTGGGGTCTGGCAGGAAACACTCAGGTTGCTGCCTGCTAGACACTCACAGGGTTGGCTCACGTGCTCTCCTGAGTCCCATGCGGAGCGTGTACCTCGTTCCCTGAGTCCCATGTGGAGCATGTATCTGGTTCCCTGAGTCCTGTGTGGAGTGTGTACCAAGTTCCCTGAGTCCCATGCGGAGCGTGTACCTGGTTCCCTGAGTCCCGTGCGGAGCGTGTACCTCGAGGTCAGGAAGAGGCGCTGGATGTGTGCTGATTGAGAGAATAACCAAGACCGGTGAGTCCGTCTCATCTTCACGGCTTGATGGTTGGAGATCGTCGTGGTGGCAGGTGCCCAGGCGTCGCAGGGCGCGCCTGTCACCAGCCCAGGACTAGGCCTCTCAGCTCGCTACAGACACCATGCCCTCGGCCCCTGAACCACCCCGCGGGACCTGGGCCGCTTGATCCCTGTGTCCTGCGGACACCCTCCTGAAATCACACGCCTTCACCTTCCTTCCTGTCATTCCTCCTTACGTCCCCACAGAAAAGGAAGTGCCCCAGAGAGATGCCAACACCTGCGTTCCTGGCTCCCAGGCCCTCGCTGTGGGACACCACACAGGAAGCTGCGGGCTGGGACCCTGGGTGATGCGGGAGCAGCCACTGGTCCCTGCCATCCATGGGGACGCAGCCGAGGAGCGAGAATCAGGGAGCTGAGGTGAAGGGAGATGCAGGCGAAGCCAAGAGTGGGTATCCTGAGGGCCTGCCTGCCCCTCTGGCTGTCCTGGGCAGTGAATGCCCGGGGCTTGGGTGGATTATCTCTGCTAACTGTGCCCGGGAGCCTTTCGTCCACCGGCAAAACCCAGGGCTCAGCAGTGCAAACATCCCCGGTAGACTGGCCTCCCAGTAACCTCAGCAGAGGCTCCTTCTCCTGCGAGGGGAGAAACCCTTACATTTGGGTGTGAGGGGGAAGCCGGGCAGGGCCCAGACCAGTATCTGAGAGGGGCGGACCAGTATCTGAGGGCGAGGGGCCGGGACAGAGTTCAGCACACACCATCTGCTCGCTCACAGCCGCTGACCCCATGGAGGGCGTGAGCGTGGGGGTCACGAAGCGTGCTCATGGGCGCAGCGGTGGTGACGGCGGGACCACCAGAGACTCAAGCCCAACCCTGGCCAGACTGGCTCAGGGGATAGAGCGTCGGCCTGTGAACCGAAGGGTTTCAGGTTCGATTCTGGTCAAGGCAAGTACGTCCCTTGGTTGCAGCTCCTCCCCACCCGGGCTCTGGTCAAGGCATGTTTCTCTCACACTGATGTGTCTTGCTATCTACCCCTCTCTCTTCCACTCTCTCTGAAATCATGGGGAAATATCCTCGGGTGAGGGTTAAGAAGCAGCAGCAGCAGCTCAAGCCCAGGTGCCTGCCCCTAACTCACTCACCTGCCATCAGCTGCTCCATGTTCCTGGACATTATCAGTACTGGGAAGACCTTGACCAAGCAGGATCCCCAAGCTTTAAGTCCAATGACAGTGCTCGAATGCTACGCAAGAAGGAAGATGCCCTTTTTATTTCCTCATCCAATGTCAACAACACAGCAAAGCCACGTGACACTGACTGCAGGGAAAACTACTAGCCACATGAGAATGAGACTTTTTAGAAGTCTTTTTTTTTTTTTTTAAGATATTTTATTGATTTTTTACAGAGAGAAAGGGAAAAGGATAGAGAGCTAGAAACATCAATGAGAGAGAAACATTGATAATCCCCTACTGAGGATGTGCCTACAACCAATATATGATACATGCCCTTGACTGGAATCAAATCTGGGACCTTTCAGTCTGCAGACCTATGCTCTATCCACTGAGCCAAACTGGTTTAGGCTGGACCAGACTTCTTACATCCACACGTATGACCAACAAAACCAGTCACTGATTTCTCAAAACTGCGTGTTCATGGTTGATGTCAGATTTTTATGGGGAAATGATTGGAAGTTACTCTTTTTTGTCGTTCTGTCAGTGAGTGAGGTGTCTGACCTTTGCTCAAAGTAACGTCCCTTCCTCTGGAGATGTGACATCAGCTGGGAGGGCACTGTTACCATGGGCACAGCGGCCCAATGCAACCACCCGGGCTCCGGGCTCTGGGCGTGAGGGGCGGTCAGTGGTCAGCGGGGCCGCGGCGGCTCCTCGGGCAGGTCGCACAGCTTGAACTCGATGTGGCCGTGGCTGAATGCCTCGCCTTTGGTCTCCTCCACGGCATCCTCCCCACGGCCGGGCGCAGTCCGCCTCTGCCTCAGGGCCGTACCTGAGGGCCCGCGCCGCCGCCTGGGGGATGGGGCCTCTCTCTGGGCACAGCAGCACAAGGCGAAGAGGAAGTTCTTCCGGAAGCTCTCGTTCATGAAGGCATAGACGATGGGGTTGCAGATGGTGTTGGAGAAGCCCAGGATCTGCACGACGGCCAGGACAGTCTTGACGGTGACCTCGTCGTACTGCTCTTCGAAGCTGCCTGGGAGAGAGGCACGCCTGAGGACGCGCCCTGTTCTACCAACAGGACATGGACCTCTGCGTCTCGTCTTTCCCCCAGCACTCTCGGATGGGAGGCCAAAGGCGTGGAGACTGCTTTAGGCCATATTGAGGGAAGTGGGGTGTCTGCAGAGCACAGCCGTGAGGGGCCTTCATGCTCAGAGCAGTGGGGCTGAGAAAGGGCCAGGCAGGGCAGGCATGGGGGCTCATGCATCTCAGCTGAGTGCAAGCTGCAGTCAACCCAGGAGCCGTGGTTGCTCCTCAGCTGTTCCCTGTATCCCAGAAACACGGTCATCTGAGGGCCACCCCACGTCAGAGGCCAGCGGGGAGACCGCCCGCGGGGCGGGACTGCACGGGTTACTGAGCTCAAGGGGCTCCGGGCAGAGGCTCTCACTGGGGGACAGAGGCTGGCTCCTCTCTCAACACTTGTGTGACGTGGGGGAGCAGAAGGCACAGCATGGAGGGACGGTGTCAGGGGCTTCCCTGGATCGTCTGTAATTAGTAAAGATGCTAGAGGCCCGGTGCACAACGATTCGGGCAAGAACGGGCCTTCCGTCCCCTGGCTGCCAGCACCACCTTCGCTCCGGACGGAGCCACCTTTCCACCTTCCCACACTGCCAGAGGCCCGGAGCGTCCCACCCCGTCCCCAGCTTCTGGGCACCTTCATATGCAAATTGACATGCCATCTTTGTTAGGTTAGTTTGCATACTCACTCCTGATTGGCTGGTGGGTGTTGCAAAGGTACAGTCAATTTGCATCTTACTCTTTTATTAGTGTAGACAAAATTCGTGCACAGAGGGGGTGTCCCTCAGCCCCGCCTGCACCCTCTCCAATCTGGAACCCCTCCAAGGATGTCCTACTGCCAGTTTACAGGGATCGGGCCTAAACTGGCAGTCAAACATCACTCTCTCAATCCAGGACTGCTGGGTCCTAACCACTGTGCCTGCCATCCTGCTTGGCCCAAAATGCCCTCCCACCAGCCTGATCACCCCAAACTGCCCCCATGCCAGCATAATCCCCCCCAACTGCCCTCCTGCCAGCCTGCTCACCCACACCTGCCCTCCCCACTGGCCTGCTTGCCCCCCAACTGCCCCCCTGCTGACCTTCTCACCCCAAACTGACCCCTGCTATCCTGATCACCCCCAACTTACCCCCACTGATGGCCTGCTTGCCCCTAACTGGCCCCCCTGCTGGCCTGATAACTCCCAATACTCCCCTCATTGACCTGATCACCCACAACTGCCATCCCATCCTGGCCTGATTACCCTGAACTGCCCTCCCTTCTTGGCTTTTAATCGCCTCCACCTCAGCCCCACCACCATGGCTTTGTCCAGAAAAACATCCGGAAGGTCTCCTGGTAGGTCTCCCAGTCTCATTAGCATATCACCCTTTTATTAGTAAAAATAGAGGCCTGGTGCAGGGATGGAGGCCAGCTGGTTTGCCCTGAAGGGTGTCCCTGATCAGGGTGGGGGTCCCCACTGGGGTGCCTGGTCAGCCTGGGTGAGGGGCTAATGGCTGTTTTCTGACTGGCCATGCCCCCCAGAGACCCAGGCCCCCAGCTCCTTCTTGAGCAGAGATCAGGGCAGGTAGGAAGCTTGGCTTCCTCCAGCACTAGCCTCCTGCTCCCTCCAGCTCCAGGGCGTGGCCATCTTTGTTGGGTTAACTTGCATACTCACTCCTGATTGGCTGGTAGGCATAGCGTAGGGACAGTCAATTTGCATGTTTCTCTTTTATTAGTGTAGGTGGTCATGATTAGACAGAACTCTCTGCTATGGTCTAGTTATCTTGCAAACACAAAAGAAACCTGTTCAGCATTTGGTACTTAATTGCTCCTGGGCATAGCAACACATTTCACAGATGCGTTTTGCATTCTGGCAGGAGAGAAGCAGGGCTCCGTCAGGGGAGGACCAGCACTCACCATACTCCATCAGCATGTGCACGACGTGGAAAGGAGCCCAGCACACGGCGAAGAGGGCCACCACGGTCGCCATCATGGCCACGGCCCGCTTCTTCTTCCTGAGCCCACAGGGACACAGAGCCCGTTAACCTCTCTCCCTGGCAAGTGTGTCAGGTCTATAGCAACGCCATGAAATCAAGCCTCAATCCGGACCCTAACAACATTCCGCCGACATTAACGAAGTTAACACCATTCAGTGTGGGCTGTTCATCACCTTTCCCATCGCTACCACCCTCACCCACATCCCTCACATTGTAAACACCCTGGGACGTGTGCTCAGGAGGGGGCTGATGTCATCAGTCTTCCCGGCAAGCCTTTGATAGGTGCAGACACTGGGGCCCTGAGAAGGTCCAGTAGCCCGCAGGGTCAGGTGGCCAGGAAGGGACTTAAAGGAATACGGACTCCTTTGGTTTAAATTGAGAGTGTCCAACCTCATGCCTACGCCCTTACTCTGTCACATTGAAGACCACTCGCCCCTATGATAGGGAAATATCAGTATTTACAAAATATGGGCAGCCCTGGAGATATAATTAAAATGTAAACCTTTATTATATCTCTAAATAACACGATTAGCCAGGATTTCCAAAAGTTTTCACCATTTCTCCTGTAAAGGAAATAAGCACGTGCAAGCCATCGACACATTGGCATGGCGCTTTAAGTTTATAAAAGTTTGTCGTCCTGATTTCTCATTTCAACGTGGGAGCCCTTTTCCCCAGGAGGGAGGAGAGCTGAGTACACCGGAAGTTCCAAGAGGCTGAGCATCCCCTGCCCTGAGGGAGGATGTCTTCCTACAAACTGGGCACCAGGGGGCGCTGCACATGTGAAGAAATGCTCCAGTCTCTTCAAACCACTGGACTTCTTACCAGGTTTTGTTTACTTTTGTTTTTAATGGCAGTTCAGTGTTGATTGTTAAACGAACCATAAGTTGCATTTTAAATTTTCTGCTAATGAATGCAATCAAAAATCCATGACGTTTGGTAAAAATAAAATATATCAATGATTAAAGAAGCCCTAACTGGTTTGGCTCAGTGGATAGAGGGACTGCGGACTCAAGGGACCCAGGTTCGATTCTGGTCAAGGGCATGTACCTTGGTTGTGAGCACATCCCCAGTAGGGAGTGTGCAGGAGGCAGCTGGTCGATGTTTCTCTCTCATTGATGTTTTCTAACTCTCTATCCCTCTCCCTTCCTCTTTTAAAAAAGAGCATGTTCTAGTTTCCCAAAGATTTTCCTAAGCATCATCTCCCATGTGTTAGCATTGTGCCCGGGTGGGAGGCCGGAGGGACGGACTCGGTGGTCCCTGGGACCGAGGGTAAGGCAGGGCAGGAGGAAGGAGACTTCCAGCTTCTCAGGGCTGTGAGTGGCAGGGAGGGGAGAGTCCACAGCTCTCCCACCTCGTCCTGCTGACAAATGGATGGAAAAGACACTGTCTAAACCCCGAGAAAGCTTCCCTCTGTGAGGGTGGAAGTGGGGCTGGTGAGCTTGCTCTTTCTTCCTGCCATACGTGGAATCTCAAAAGTGTTCAGAGAGCTCATGCCCACCCGTGAAGAACAAGGGACACTAACAAACAGCACCCAATAACTCCGAGGTCCCTAGTAACCATCCCATGTGGCACAACTAGTTAAAAATATGTCTGCGGACTGAAAGGTCCCAGGTTCGATTCTGGGCAAGAGCATGTACATTGGTTGCGGGCACATCCTCGGTGGGGGGTGTGCAGGAGGCGGCTGGTCGATGTTTCTCTCTTATCGACGTTTCTGGCTCTCTATCTCTCTCCCTTCCTCTCTGTAAAAAAATCAATAAAATAAATTAAAAATACATATATCTGAGCCCTGCTGACATGGCTCAGTGGTTGAATGTCCATGTATGAACCAGGAGGTCACGATTCGATTTCTGGTCAGGGCACATGCCCGGGTTGCGGGCTCCATCCCCAGTGGGGGCCATAGAGGCAGGAGGCAGCCAGCCAATGATTCTCTTACATCATTGCTTTTTTTTCCCCTCCTCTCTCTCTCTCTTTCTCTTTCTTTCTCTCGCCTCTCCTTTCCTTCCATCTCTTCCCCTCTCCCTCTTCCTCCACCTTCCTCTCTGAAATATATATATTTAAATATATATATTTGAAACTGAGGAGAATCCTTCATTAAAACGACCTGGTGATTTTTGACATCTCGTTTCCATGGATGGTCCGAAGCACTGAGCTGTCGCCCACTCTCTTGTGGATCCAGAGCTCGTAGCCGATCTTGCTGTACAGGCTGAACATGAGCAGCAGCGGCAGGAGGAAGAGGATGACGAGGATGAGGGTGGTGTAGACCTTCTGGTGCACCGGGCTGCTCCACTCCTCCAGGCAGCAGACATGCTCCTTCTCGTAGAGGAAGTCGTACTTAACCTTTGGGGCGAGAAGGGCCGGGTGAGCCACCGCGGGCCTGGGCCTGGGGACTCAGACCCTGCTGTGGTTACCATGGGGACAGGCTTCAAACAACATACAATTGTGATTTTCTTTTGTTCTGAACTGTGGTTTTTCCCCTCATCACTGCTTCAATTCTTGGGAGTTTTAGTACTTTCTTTGCTATTTTAAATGAATTGAGGCCGGAAGCCTGTTCGCTTTCTATCTCTCTCCACTTTTCACACTCTGGGCATGGGTTTTCCATGGGGTACAATGCTGGAAACAAATCAGTTTCACTAAAAGAGAGATGTTGACAGGAAGCCAACAACCTTAATTGCTCTAACCACTCACCCTTTAGTTGGGACATTCTTAGCTAAAACAGCCTCCACCTTGTTTGTCCCATGTAAGTTCTGTTATTTCCTGCCTAAGGGCTACATGTAAATTTCTGTTTATGTTGCCTAAGATGTTTTCCCCAAAGCCTCAATAAAAGGGGATGGCAGGGCCAGAGCAGTAGTAGTTCTCCCACCAGAGTTGGGAGAACTCCCCATATCGCCAAGTTGAATTTCTTCAAGTCTCTTCATTTGTGTGGGCCCTTCTCCAAAACCCGAACCCTGAATTGGAACCCTTTCCACATGGGACGTGAAAGAGTTTCCTACAGTACAAGAGCCCTAATGGCCAATGTATGAATGAAAATAACATTTCCTGCCATGTGCCAACTAGTTCCAATGTCACCCCAATAAATTTAATAAAACAAGAGATACTGAAGTAAATGGAAAAGTGGGGTCCAAGCTATTGCTGATCTAAAAACATTCAGACTCTGGTCTAAGCCTTTGAGGGATGTATTCTATAGAAAGCCAATGTCTGTGTTTTAATACCATTTCTGACCAATTCATCTCATCAGTTCAAATAATAATAACAATATTAAGAAAAAGAGCAATGTTAATAAGAGACAAAGTAAACATTTAGCATATATACAAAAGTCATTTCTCTGGATAATAGGAATAAATGTCAGGGAATTTGTCAAAGCGACTGTCATTGTACTCACTCTGGCACTTTCCAGATGGAAGATACTTAGGTCTCAGATGTTCTTCTGCCTCCATCCCCACTCCTCAATGCCAAGTGAAGTGGGGAGGGGGGGGGCTTTTGTATCCTCACCAACCATAAACCACATGCTCTGATCTAGGCGTTATTTACAGACACAACTAACTGGGAATGGAAACACTCCGTGTAGAGTAAGATTAAGATCCGAACTCCCCAGGAACAGGACATCAAAATGAAATCCACCTGACGCCATGCAGACAGCGCCAGCCGGGCCAGCCACAGGGACTGCTTGCTGGCACATTCTAACACAGTACAGGTGTGCGCTGGTGGAAAGACCGGCTGCTATGACGCGCACTGACCACCAGAGGGCAGATGCCCAGTGCAGGAGCTGCCCCCTGGTGGTCAGTGCACTCCCACAGGGGGAGCATTGCTCAGCCAGAAGCCAGGCTCACAGCTGGTGAGCACAGTGGCAGTGACAGGAGCCTCTCCCACCTCCACAGCAGTTGGACATCCCCTGAGGGCTCCTGGACTGGGAGAGGGTGCAGGCTGGGCTGAGGGACACCCTGTGCCCTGAGTGCACGAATTCCGTGCACCGGGCCTCTCATTGTCCTATATGCCAGCCCTGGGAGGGAGCCTGCAGGAAGAAAGCAAAGGGGTTGGTGGTATTTTACCCCTCCAGGTGCAGGGCCAGCCTCGGTCAGGCTCGCACACACTGGCTCCGATGGAATGTAGGGGTGAGAAGGAGCCGTGGGTGCATACAAATATGGTTATTTGCTTTGAAGAATGAACTCATACTTTTTCCCGACAGAAAGCAAATTGGATTTGGCTGCTCTACCCGACAGCAAGGACTGGCTTTGTCACTTAGATTGTGTGTACTTTCTACAAACTAAATTAGAATACATTAGGAGGAGCATGTGCTAAAATAATTGTATTTATTTTTGTTAATCCTCACCCAAGAACATTTTTCCATTGATTTTTAGGGAGAGTGGAAGGGAGAAGGGAAGACAGGAAGAAACATGGATAAACACATGGATTGTTTGTGAGTCTCCTGCATGCACCCCAGCCAGGAGCCTGCAACCAAGTGCATGCCCTTGACCAGAATTGAACCCAGGACCCTATGGTCTGCAGGCAGACACTCTATCCACTGAGCCGAACTGGCAAGGGCTAAAATAATTGTATTTTAAAAACAGACAAATCTCCTGGAGTTCTGTGGGCAGGAAGTGGACCCTGTGGTGGGAATGGGTGAGGCCATTTCTGAATGGCCCCTCTGTGCACAGTTTCCTGCTACAGAAAAGGCCTTGGAGAGGGAGCAGGTCACGGAGCGTGGAACTCACACTTCCAGAGCAGCCGTGGCCCAGGAGCCGCAGCTGGAACTGCAGCGGTTTCCTCTTGGAGACATCCATGGAGTCACAACTCAGTCACAGGCAGCATCACACTCAGGGGACACTGCCCTCCTGTCCCCTCTCTGCTTGGCGGCCCCAGGAGAGAGGGACAGGCAGGGAGGCAGAGAAGAAGGGGATGGTCACACCTGCTCCTGAGGGCCAGGTGCTAGGCCCACAGCAGCTCACCCGGGGAGGGGGACGGTGCACTCACTGCGGGTTCAGGATGACAGGGTGGTGATGCTGGGCTGGGCATTTTAGAGACAAGGAGCACTGTCCTGTCTGAACGGCCGGAGGAGCGTCAGGCTCAGCCAGGCTCCGTAGGGGCATCCCACCAGGGAGCAGGGAAGGGAAGGAGCCTGCCTCCTGCCCTCACGGTGGAGTCTGGCTCACTCAGTAACCACTTAACCAAGAATCAAGCCGCCACACATTCCCGGACAGAGGCATGCAGAGAAGCAAACCTGGACCTTTCTCTTATATCATCTATTAATGAACTCCCAGTGGGCTGCAGCTTACATGTACAGCCTGAGGCCTGAGAGCATAAAACTCCGAGAAGAAAACACAACAAGCACCACTCTGATGTTTCTGAGTGCTGTCTTTTTGAACACATCCCCTCAAGCAAGAGAACCAGCATGAAAATAATTACAGGGAACTGCATCAGACTAAAAAGCTTCTGTTCAGCAAAGGAAGCTGCTGACAAGATGAAAAGACCGCCGACAGACTGGGAGAACTTGTTCACAAATGGTATGTCCAATAAGGGGTTGGTATACAAAATAGAGAATAAACTCGTACAATTCAGTCACAAAAACATAACAACCCGATCAAAAACGTGGACAGAGGACTTGAAAAGGTATTTCTCCAAAGAGGACATACAGGCGGCCAGCAGACCCAGGAAAAAAGGCCCAACAGCACCAATCAGCAGGGCAAGGCAAGCCAAACCCACCACGAGATGACACTGCACTCCAGGCAGAGGGGCTATGGTCAGAAAGGCCACAGACATGCATGCTGCTGAGGGTGTGGGACAAAGGGAGCGAGCCCTCACGCACTGCTGGTGGGAGAGCCGACTGGTGCAGCCACTGTGGGAAGCAGGATGGCGATCCCTCAAGGAACTGAAAACAGAATTACCATATGACCGAGCAATTGCACTTCTGGTATTTACTCAAAAAACAAACAGACAAAACGAGGACACTGCCTTACATGCAGCCCTACGTTTTTTGCAGCATTATCTACAGTGGCCAAGGTATGGAAGCAACAAAGGTATCCATCGATAGATGAATGGATAAAGAAGATGAGATAGCCTGCCATAGTGGCTCAGTGGTTAAGCATCGACCTATGAGGCAGGAGGTCATGGTTCAATTCCCAGTCAGGGCACAGGCCTGGGTAGCAGGCTCAATCCCAGTGTGGGGCATGCAGGAGGCAACTGGTCAGTAATTCTCTCCCATCATTGAGGTTTCTATCTCTGTCCCTCTCTCCCTTCCTCTCTGAAATCAATAAAAATATATTTTTTTAAAAGAAGATGAGGTATATGTGTTCGATGGAATACTACTCAGCCATAAAAAAGAATGAAATCTTGCCATTTGTGACAACATGGATGGATATAGAGGATATTATGCTAAGGCAGTGGTCTCGCGAGCTGCCGTTTGCCTCTCTGTTGACTAATGAGTTTGCCGACCACTGTGCTAAGGGCAATAATACTAGGCAAGGACAAATGCCATGTGATTTCACATATATGTGGAATCTAAAAGCAAAACAAAACATAACCAGACTCATAGAAACAGAAACCACAGGGTGGTTACCAGAAGGGAGGGCCGGGAGGGGAGGTGAGAGGGGGAAGGGGAACATTGCCAACAATATTGTGGTAAGGGCACGGATGAGGATGATCACTAATCAGTGGGGTGATCATATTATCAAGTCTAAAACTGTCAGGTCACTATAGGGTACACCTGAAGCTAATATAACCAGTGTAAGACTGTATACCAACTATATATTTTACACATAAAATGTAAAAAATAAAAACAAATACATAACACCAGGTTTTAAGTGGACCCTCATCTGAGGCACATGTGGCACCCTGGCCGGTGGACACTGCATGCTGTGCTGATGTCAAAGCACAAAAGGATGCACCGTTTGAACATGATCTCAAGGACACCTGTGCAACCCTCCTGGGTCTGGAGACCACTGTCCATGCTGGACATGCCCAGTGGGAAGGGTCAAACCAGCAGGGCCCTGCCCTGCCCTCACTGTGACTCCTCGGGCAAGGAGGGCCCCGTGGACCACGTGGGGGGCAGAGAGAGGCTGGATAAGTCGGTCCTAAATTTCCAATTCAAACTGCAATCTGTCACTGAATAGGAGACAGGTAAGAAAGGACTTAGGACAGAGAATCAACTAGTAAGATCATCGGTCACAATTATTTTATGTGACTTCAAAACACAGCAGGTCCGCCGGAGATCCGTTCCTAAAGTGACATAACGCGATTTTTGCCATAAGTTGGAACCCACCTCCGTACGTGCCTCCACCTCCGTCCTTCACGTGCAGCACAGACACAGTAGTATGAAGTGACACAGTAAAAATGTTTAAAAGAAAGAGAACAATTCCTGACCTTCACTTGTGGTAAATACAGTAAATAATAAAAGACACAAAGCACATATGTACATACATCGAAATGATGGAACTTTTTTTTAATACATAAATAAAAGATGGCGATGTAACCATGAAACGATGTACGTGGAGTCTGATGTAACCCGAGGATGTATGGTGAAGTATGTGGAGTGACCCCCGGACGCTCACGGCCTGACTGGCCATCACAGAGACGCGTCCAGCTGCAGGAAAACGCAGTCTGTGAGCCTGGCAAGACTTACCCACAGGAGGTCAAGGACGAGCAGAGGAAAACAGCAGGGAAATCTTGAAACATGTTATTTGAGTCCAGTTGGAAAACCTCTAGTGAAATCATAAGATCATGCAGATTCGCTAAATCCTCTTGCAGGAAGGAAAATTACTATAACCAGGAGGGCGGGACATTCTCAGTATAAAGACCAGCCCAGCCCGAACCCACCTCGAGTCGCTGCACGTGCCACATGGGGGCGCCGACAATGACCGCCACCAGCCAGACCACGCCTGTAAAGGGCACAACCATCAGAACACCACTCAGCCGAGCACAGCCCGCCTTGCTCAGTTTTCTAACCCAGTGGTCCGCAAACTGCGGCTCGCGAGCCTTTGGCCCCTTAAGTGTTCTAACCCCACTTCTTCAAACAGACTCGCCCAGGCCGAAAACAGAATTCTGCTCACGGGCCATGAAGTTTCCATCGCACTGTCCATGCGCGCCCGCACGTGGTATGTTGTGAAAGAGCCAAGGGGCCAAAGAGCTGTGAGCCGCAGTTTGCAGACCCCACTCTGTCTCTGTCTGTCTGTCTGCCTGTCTATCTCTGCACATCTATCTATTCTAACCCCTCCTCACTGTAAATGTTATCTCTCATCCAGTCATTTCTCCAGCCATCAGAAGCGTTTGGGCGGAGTTGAGTGTAATTGGCTTAGCTCAGTGCCAATCCCCAGTGCGGGTGGGCTCAGGGGCAGACAAGAAGGAAGCTGGGTGAACAGGAGGGAGGGAGTCTGTGGGCTCTGAGCAGGGGAGTCTCCATCTGCCACTGGGCAGGGGCACAGGCGGCGGCCTGAGGTGGGAGAGGGGCCTGGGTTCTGAGCAGGGCTGGCCAGGACTGCCTGTTACCTACTTCGCTTTCAGAGGGCGAGCCCCACTCTGCGCCTCTTTCCTTTTAGTAACTCCTCCCGCCAAGGCTGCACTTCCCCGCCTTCCACACCGCCCGCTGTCTCTGGATGTCCTGCTGGCGGACTGTTGTCAACTGTTAAAAGCAAAGAGGTCTCTGAACTCCTGGCAGGAAGGACGCGACATGCATTTGGGACAAACTAAAACTAGCAATTTTGTCCGCCTGGTTTGTCTCCTTGAAATGAGCGGCCCCCGAAGCCCTGGGTCCCGCTGGCCCCCTCCCCCCAGGCAGTGCTAATGGCTCCCTGGACGGCCACTTTAGTGGCTCTGGGCCAGCGGAGCCTTTCAGCCCTAATGCACGCCACACTGAGGGGCGTGAGGGCTGTAAGTAACTGGAGGGTAATTATAGGGCAGAGTCCTCCGGGGATGGCCGGCTGGGACATTGCTCTCCAGGGCAGCACAGCAGCCTCGCAGATGCAAGAGGTGGCTGTGCCTGTCAGGTGTCAGCTACACCCAGCATCCAGAACCCAGCACCCAGCACCCAGCACCCAGTGCTCCCGTGGGCCCAGCCTTCTGGGCTGCACCCTGTTCTCTGCTTTTCTAAACGCACTCTTCCTGCCCCACCCTCCAACCCCCGTGAAAACCCACCTGCACCAACGGCATCGCAGCCGCCTCTTGGGTCGGGAAGCCCTAAGGACTGTCCTGCAGCCCTGCCTGCCACGGGCTGGCCTAGGTCACGCCCATCGGCAGGAAGTTGAGCCCTAAACCCAAGGGCACATGTGGAATGAGAGGCCTGGTGCTGAGGTGGACAGGAGGAGGGAGAGGGGCTGGAGAGGGAGAGGAGGGGGAAGGCGGAGAGGATGGAAGCCCATCACCCTCCTCCCTTTGCACCGCCGGGTGCCCGCCCTCACCCCTGCCCTCACCCAGCGCCCGCCCTCACCCAGCGTGGCGAAGGCCCGGCGGTGGGTGTAGCGGCACCTCACGCGGAGCGGGTGCACCAGGCCATGGTGGCGCTCCAGGGCGATGCAGGTCAGGGTGAGGATCTCAGTCACCACGGCCGTGCACTGAGCGAAGGGCACCATCTTGCAGACGAAGGCACCTGTGGCCGGGAGACAGGGACACGTCAGAGGGAGAAGCCGGGTGTGTGTTCAGGCTGAGCCTCCGTCTCAAAGCCGTGTCTGCAGTCACACCGCAGAGTGCCGTGCCGATGGGTACAGGGGCAGGCTCGCTCCCGGGGCTCTGAGCTGTGTGATCATGGAGCAGTGATGGGGCCGTGGAGAGGGCAGCAGAAGGCGCGTGGCCCTCCCGGCAGGAGAGCAGGCAGGGGTGGGGGGTGGGAGGTGCGGGGGTGGGGGGTGGGAGCGGCCTCCTGCTCCCCACACCACTGAGGCGCCTCCGGTGCCTGTCAGTCACCACATGGGGCCCTTCTTCCCAACGACGCCCACACCGTTTCTCTTCTCCTCTGACTTCCTGCCCCAGACTCCCTGGTCACCCAGTCCTCCCTCCACCACTTCCCCTTCCTCTGTCTCAGAGCCAAGGTCTTGAGCCCGTGGCCCCTGGGCAGCCTGGGTGTGCAGACACGCTGCCACAACACTGTTAAATCTGTGAGTCCACAGCCACGCTCAGTGTGTGTGTGAGGTCTCAGCCATCTGTGTGAGTCTCTGCGTGGTGGGTGCACCTCACCCGTTGCTGCCATCGGCACTCTCTGCACCGTCACGGTGGGCATCTGCTCGGGGACAGAGATCCCTGGCAGATGCTGGAGAAGTCCTGTGAGCCGCCCTGTCCCCAAGCTGAAGCCCCCCCCCCCCCCTTTCCTCAAATGCACCACCACGCTCTGCGGGGCAGGGCAGGGGAGGGGGGCCTCACCCATCCACCCCTTCCTTCGTGGACCGGCCTCCCCGGTTCCACCCTCACGTCCTGCACTGCAGTCTTTGCTCAGATGTCACCTTCTCAGTGGGGCCATTCCACCTGGCCCCTCCTTCCTCTCAGTCCACACACACACACACACACACACACACACACACGCTGGCTCTCAGCCAGCAGAGAGGAGGCAGGAGGCTCTCAGCCAGGCCGGGGCCTCCGTTCCCCCTGGGAGAGGCTCCTCAGGAAACGCTGCTCCCAGGATCCTGCCCCTTCCACTGCAGCTCCGGGGGCGTCTGACACACTAGCCGCCGTGTCCTGCGCTGTCTGGAGGGAGATCTCATATCCCCGCGGAGTCTTCCCAGCGGCCCCAGTTGTTCCTCAAATGGTCCAGGGGGGCCCTGTGCACAGGGGGGAGGGAGATGGGAGGCTGGCTAATGCAGAAACCATACGACTGCCCTGTCTTCTGTGACTGTACCTGAAATCTTCCCACCGTTTGTGCTGCTGTTTTCAAGTGGTTGCTTTACATTGAACTTGAAGCGAATGGGGTCCACTTAGTGGACAGTTTCTGTGACTCCAAGGTGCCTGTTGCTCCAGAAACTGCCCTTCCCACCCTTCTCGGAAGCCCCAAAGGGTGACCCAAGGCCAGTCACAGCCCCAACCTCGGTTCCAGCTCCCCAGACCCTAACCCTGCTCAGAGTCAAGGCCGCTCTTGCCCAGCGCAATCGTTTAGATGCAACATGTGGGAATTTCCTTCCGATGCTCATTTATTTTGTGGTTTGAGCACCGATCCCACTGTGAACGCCATAGCTTACTTCAAATCCTGTTTTGTAAGTGATCCTTGTACCAATGAGCATGTGGGTACATTCTACCATCTGTCATCTTAGCCTTTTTATGAATCCAGACAGCGTCTATCCTTTCTTTGAAGTTTTGATCAGAATTTCTTCTATTCTTTCAACCACATTGTGTTGTTATTTTCTTAAGTCAGACAGCCCAAGGAACTTTCCATGAAATGGACACAGTTTAGGCATAACTATCCAAACAAATGAGAATTACTGTCATAAGGACACATATGTAATTCCTTAATCAATAAAGAAAAAAATAAATTTTCTTCAAATCTTAAAAAGAAAAAGAATTACTGTCGCAGTGGTATCTCCTTGTAGTGCTACCCATCATGTCCACCATAATCACATGGGACATTGGTCCCTGCCTTCCTGGCATCACCTGATTCATCCGATCTCTGTAGGAGGTGCCCTGGAGCTCAACGTCACCCTCTATGAAAAGGGAGGGGCAGTATCCACCTGTCCTGTGAGCACAAGACGAACGCTTCCCTCAATGAGATAAGCACCCGGTGCCGGATGTGTTTTCACAAATGGCAGCTTTTTGCCATCATCAGGCAGCCAATGGGGTCAGTGTCAGGGGTCAGTGCTGTCCGGGGGAGTTGGCAGGTTGTTTGTGGCTCACCTGCCCAAGACGGGCATCTTGTTCCGCATCCTTATTCCCCAGGGAAGACGCCGCAGCGCGCAGAAGTGTCTGCTTAGGGCCGCAGTGACAGCACGGAGCTGGCCCCGGTCACGGCGCCCCCGTCTCAGTGCCCCCCACTCTGTGGCAGCTCTAGCCCACGTGCTCATGAGTCACCTGCTCAATAGTCCGCGGGACAGGTCTGCACCACGCCCTGGTTCTACCATCTGTCATCTCATCCTTTTTATGAATCCAGAAGCATTTGCCCAACATCCTACTTCTGTTTTTTGTGTGTGTGTTTTAATATATTTTATTGATTTTTCACAGAGAGAAAGAGAGAGGGACAGATAGAAACATCAATGAGAGAGAAACATTGACCAGCTGCCTCATGCACACCCACTGGGGATGTGCCTGCAACCCATGTACATGCCCTTGACCAGAATCAAACCTAGGACCTTTCAGTTTGCAGGCCAACGCTCTATCCACTGAGCCAAACCGATTTCGGCCCAACATGCTGCTTCGGACCTTTCTCCAAGCAGCTTGCTAAGCAGTCGCCAACACTGCTTCCTTGATCACATTTCCGAGTGCCATCAGCTCTGCTTTGCCCTTTTGAATTCGGAGATCATTTTTCAAGGTCTGGCGGCTCGGAGAGAGGGTGACACTGAGGACTCGGGTTTTGTCTCTGCCCTTTACGAATGTCAACCACCGACCCTCCCTCCACCGTTAGCTCCTGTCTCTGGTGGCTCTTCAGTGTGACTCCCAGTGTGACTCACACGGGTCTAAGCTGTTTTTGCAAGAATGTGTCCTTTGTGACATTTCTTCACATAAATGGCAACTTATGAGAAGCCCTGACCAAGTGGCTCAATTGGTTGAGTGCAGTCCTGAACACCAATAGGTTGTGGGTTCAGTTACTGGTCAGGAAACCTGTCTGTGTTTTGGGTTCAATCCCAGGTGAGGGGTCAGGGGTCATGGGAGGCAACCCAAATCAATATCTCTGTCTCCCGCTCCCCCTCTCCTTCTCTCCCTCCCTTCTCCTTTCTCTCTCTAAAAATCAATAAGAACATATGCTCAGGTGAGGATTAAATAATAACAATAATAATAAACTGGGATAATCCTAGAATTCCTGGTGTAAGGCAGTGTTTTCTCGGGATGTTCTTCCCTTTTTTCCATCTGGGACCATCAGTCTTTAAAATCAGAGTGTTTCTCAGAACTTGCCCAGAATGGTTATTTCTTATACTTTCATTGTCCATCTACTTGCATTTCTTTTTTTGTTTGTTTGTTTTTTGTTTTTAATATATTTTATTGATTTTTTTTACAGAGAGGAAGAGAGAGGGATAGAGAGTTAGAAACATCGATGAAAGAGAATCATCGATCAGCTGCCTCTTGCACACCCCCAACTGGGGATGTGTCTGCAACCAAGGTACATGCCCTTGACCGGAATCGAACCCAGGACCTTTCAGTCCGCAGGCCGATGCTCTATCCACTGAGCAAAACCGTTTCTGTTTCCTGAATTTCTTAATCTCAATGCATGAACTCTGCTCCCTGTGGACAGGTGAGGCAGGAGCCCCTGCTGGGGAGATAGATCCTCCTGTACTGAAAGAGCCAGGGAAGAAGAAGAGGGTTGGAGGTGTGCAGTCCAGTGCCCACCAGGTCATGAGCGACAATAGACCACAGCTGAGAGACTGCTGCGACCTCTGAGCACCCCTGGCCCCTGCTTGTCCCTCCGGCTTCACACTGATCCTGTGTACCTTCAACATGCTTCTAGTGCATTCCCTTCTCAGCTGTTCTCAGAACGAAGGAAACTTACTTGACATCCTTTTTTCTGGTTCCATTTTCTCTGGAAGGTATGTTGCCTACAATGCAGACTATGCTGGTCAATGCTCCTTCTGTGTGCGTTGTCAACGCCAAGACAGCTCAGTCCAAATCTGACTGTTTCAGTTTGCCTCCACTGTAGCTGCCATTCCTACTTGAAAACTGCAATAGTTCTCCTTTGCCTACTGGATTGGAAGCAAATGCTTTGGTCTAATATTTATTGCTTTCCTGCCTTCACATGCTTATGCAATTTTAGTTCCAGAAGATAAACTCATTTTGGGGCATGAATGGTGTCCACTGACCTATACCCACTCCCACCTTCACACACAATGCAGGCCTCCATAATTCACATAGGAATAAGACCTCGTTATTTCTAAAAACGGGGCTGGGAAATATTGTAGAAAACAGTAGGGCCGGTATTTGTTTTCACCCCAGTGCAACAGTGACTCTCAAAAGGATCCAAGTAAAAAGGTCAGAAATAAAAGAACAGAGTACTCATGTAGGAAAGATGAAAATCATCCTTAGATTAATTTAGAAAATGGTGTAAGGAGTTATAAGTGTGGGAAAGCATCTAATGATGAGATCCGCTCTGAAGAATGTGCTCCAAGGTTGACTGAAAGAAAACAATATGGGTTGCTTTTGTTCTTCTTTTCCAGTTCTTTAAGATTCAGGGTAGGTTCTTGGGATTTGAGGAAATAATAAAAGTTAGAATTGAATGAAATAGAGAACAAAAAGACTATATAAAAATTAATATAACAGAGAGCTGGTTCTTTGAAAAGATTAATAAAATTGGCAAACCCTGGTTAGACTCACTAAGAAAAAAAGAAAAAAGACTTAGATAAACAAAATCAGAAATGAATTAGAAGTCAACACTCAATAAAATGTGTATAGAAGGAAAGTACCTCAATGTCATAAAGGTCATATATGACAAGCCCTCGCCTCAGTCAGTATCACACTCAACGATGA